TACGAAGAGATAAACAAGGCAAGCTAATAAACAACTATAAACAACTATATATAATAAATTATCACCAATATTCGTATTTCATTAAATTCATTTGTTTAGCCGTAGCAGCCACCATATCCTCAAGAACCAATATGCATCGAGATCGGGATACGTTTACAGTAGTATCAGCATTTATCTCGGATAAACCCAACTACTTAAGCGTATAAAAACAAATTCCCTTCGGAACATCCCAACAATATAAGGTTATTAATAGGTAAAATTTCAAGATTTGTGATTGTTGTTTTGATTGTTGAGCTTTTGAATTTTGATGAATATGCTTGATACTGATAATAGAAGCATAAATTAAATTTAGTTCATTTATAGAATGTTAAAGTACATATATATAAGAGTTCCAATCAGGAGAAATCCGTCATCCGTTTATCCGTATCTGAATTATCCAAATAATCCAGATTGGATAAACGGATCAGATATCCGGATAATCCGACAAACATTCGGATATTTCAGATAACAGATAACGGATATCTGATAATTATCCGGATAAACACTTAATGGATTGGAACTCTAATATATATATATATATATATATATCAATAAAATTGAAAGACATACATTCTCGTTTAATGGGGTGAACGTAATAGTGTTACTATTATTAACAGTAATAACTTCATCTTTATACAGATTCAATGATACGATATCAGAATTAACTGATGCAATTATTATAAAATTGGTAAGCAAGTTTAGAAATAATATTTAGCACAAAAACAACGAAATAAAAAATTACCTCGAATTTTATTAATCAATGAGCCAGTATTAGTGTCCCATATACAAATTAAATGGTCTGCTGGTGCGCATGATACAAGATAACTGTTTGTGTAAAATTTCACCTATGATTCAATTAAAAAAAGGTTTTTGAAGAGTGTGACAATGTATATTGAACCGATTACGCTGTTCAAATATGACATACATGAGATATATCTGTGTCTCCAGCTTTCCAACTTTTAATTAATGTACCAGTTCTTGACTCTAATAACGATATTACTCCGCTAGAAAAACCAACTGCTATTAATGTCTCGGATGGGCTCACACATATAGTACGTATGTTGCCTAAATAAGTTGAATAAATATGTTAACATTTATATTTAGA